TAGACTCGCGAAGTGTTTCCGCCCATAATTCGGGATCCTTTCGCCGTACCAAGTATCTTGCTTCGGTTTTGAAAAGCGAGTTTTCGTTGCATACCTGCAAGATAATCGAAAATCAGATTGACGCATTTGTTCACAGGATTGCATTGATATATACAACAGCAGGTTTTACAATAAAGCGAAATACCGTTTAAGTGAGATTCGATTGAAAACCAACAGGCTAAAGTTTGTGATGCGTCAACAACGTGGCACAGCAATACACGACAAAACGGACCCGAGCCGTAAGTCAGGCGTTTTAATCACATAGTTCTCGCAAGATATTTTCATTTCTTCCAGCAGTCCTAATGTGCCTGCGATTATTCCTGTGAAAAACCGAATGTATATTGTGAATATTTACTGGATCGGAGTGAGTGATAACGTAAAAGGAACCGGATAACAAAGAACTTACGTTTATCAGCGCTTGATCACATCGGCCACGTTCATATGCTATACAAGCGAGGTGCGGGTCCCGTTTTTCACAGTATTTTCCAACAACTGTACTATCGTAATACTGATTTTCTCGGAGGAACCGCTCGGGATTATTGTTCAAATCGATGTAGATTTTCGCCAAAGCGTTATGGGTAGCTGGCTCCACACAACCTTCGTGTACGCGAGACTCAAGCCACGGAAGCAGCAATTTAAGACGGTTTCGCTTCTCCACTTCCGCTACTAGTTCATCGGTGCTGAACTGACCTAAAAGGTTACATGATGGAAATATTTTACATCGTCAAAGACTATGTTAACCAGGAAAGTTTGTGTCAGCAATTTTGTTGTCAATCAGAAAATCCATGAACTTAAATGCATCAAATTGTGGCTTGTTCAAGTAGGGAATAATTTTCTGCCCGTTCAGGTCATCGAATAATGCCGCACGTCAAAAATATATTAAACCCCAAGTAGTTTAATAAAATAAGCTGATGGTGATTAACAATCAGACTAAATAAGCAACTCAACACAATGCGTGGCTCACCTCTCACAACTGCAATCAACTGTTTGATTACATCCTCGGCACAATCCACGTCCAACAGACCACCAACCACAATAGGCAGACGAGCCGTGTTGACTTTTTGAACATATATTTCGATATACTTTTGAAGATTGTTGCGGAACAAATAAAGCACTAGATCGTGCACGAAGTCAAATCGATCGCATACGATGATCAATGGCAGTTGATCGGTCAGTTTAGCCTCCTGCGAACAAAGAGTAAGTCGTTGAAAGAATGCATACAGACAGTTTCCGTTTATATGACCACCAACCATTTCTTTAAAACTTCTGACAAAAAAATCGAAGGTGCTTTGACAACATTCATAGTGGTGGTATTTGCATTTGGAATGGAGTGTCAGAAACGTGAAATCCAGCAGTCCTTTTACAAAATACATTTTGTTCAAGCAATGACCACTTGCGAGAATCGTCACAAACACAAGCGCCGTGTTTGATTCGTCGAAAGATCAACGAAGTCGACTGTAGAAACTATTTCAGTTCAGTTTTCATTTGGATAACAACTAATAGCCATGCACTTTCATGCGGTGGTAGCGGTTGCCGCTTTTGGCTTGCCATTTGGGTGAATGTGTAAGACTGTAAATTTGAAAGCAGTGCCATAGAGCGAATGGAGAATTCCGGTAGTCCGAAGTTGCAAAGAAATTGAGATGCACGAATATCACTGCTCATGACACTCATCTCCAATTACTGATTACAACGATCTCGAGATCTTCACCCAGGATGCCTAACGCACCGCGTCCGAGGCTCCTGGTCAGTTTTTATATCATTATGCCAGGTCTTGGTTTGGACATCCTCTCCTTTTTTCACTCATTATCTCGGCAAACAGCACGTGCCTTGGCAATCCATTTGGTGGCGTTCGCAACACAGCCCAAACAACGGAGCCTACGGAGGTCTACCACCTGCTTCAGTGGGTACCTAAAACTATGAGCCTAAACTCAGTTTTCCTTGTCGTGTTTCCCTACCAGACTCGTGCACTGCGGCGTAGACAGCGGTGTCCGAGTACTGACAGTCTACCTTGATCCTCTTTTCGTAATGACCACGGTTCTGTGCCGTATAGCAGCGCTGACCGAACTGCTGCAGCATACACTCGATCGTTCTGAGACAACCGTACGTCGCGATGTCGCCACAGATATTTCAAGTTGGCATGTAATTAAATCATAAAACAAGCCAAGTTATTTGGGCGGCGGTGGCCAAATGGCTAGGGCACCAACTAGTGACTTGAGTGTCCCGGGTTCAAACCGTACCACCACCGCCCGTCTTCCCTATATATGTATTTTCCCCAGGCAGGCTTAGTATGGCCGCAGCCCCCTTCGACAGTACATTTGTATATCCAATAAATAGAAAAAGGAAGACATTTTTAAAGCTCTTACTTCTACGCAGATTCAACCTCTGGGGACCAAATATTGCTGCTCTATGACTGTCTGGTTAGGTGTCTGGACATTAGATGAAAGCCAAAAATATCCTAGCTCGAAATCCGAACACGTATTAGCTCGGTCCGACTACATGCCGGTTGAACGACGGAAAGTGATAGGATCTTCATATTGATTGGCACAAAGGTAAGCAGTTCATTCGGGAATTCTCATAGACACGCGTTCTGACGCCAACTCATTCAGTTAAAACACTCGTTGGAAATCCGAGTGCATCTGAACTGATTCGTGTTCGACGATGTCTGGGCAGTTCTGTGGGTAAACATTTGTACTACTCATGAGTAGCTTGATATTTCTCCTGGGTTATCTAGATATAAACGTCACAGAAACATCAAGTGAAAAACGGTATTGGAATGGCCGGTAAGAATGCTCGGTCTTAACTAACTACGAATTCGGTGGTTACCCATGGCTCTTGACCGATACGTTATAAGGTGGAAATCTAAGAGAAACAAACTTATCCATCTTTGGGATACCAATGTCTAAAATCTGTAGATAACTGCGGCTTGTTTTCCATCATATCCGGCCGATGATGAGTGGCATGCTAAATCATAAACTAACCTTCAAGAAGTTCTTCACACGTTCTGGCTCGTAACAGTTGCTCTCGCGACAGATCCTTTCAACCTCCTTTACTTGTCCAGTCTTACAAGCCGCTTGGATATACTTGAAATGTACCTCCGGCTCTTGACTGTAGTTCACAATAGATCCCAAGAAATAGAACAAGCCTTCGAATGACTTGAAAGATTCGAAAATTTCTATCAAGGCTGAGGTGCCAAGTTGCTCGTGGTATTTGGTCGCGATCTGAACACAGACCTGCAAATTCTGACGGATGTTGGTTTGCAACATAGCTCGTAAACACTCCAGGGAATCATCAACAGAAAGTGAACCGAAGTAGTTGACCAGCCACTAAAAAAGTAAACAAATGTTAGGAGATAGAAATTCAACAACAATTGTGAGAGAATCTTGTGGTAAACAGCTGTCCAAAAACCATTTAACCTCAAGCTGTAGTAGGTTAACTAAAATAAAAAAATGAGCAAACGGAACGCTTGTAGAATGAATGATCCTATAATAAGTGTGCGAACATTCGTCCTAAGTCACCCAAGCCAGCAAGAGTAATCAGTTGAAAGCCTGTCGTGTACAACACTCCTTGCTACTGCATATCGCTGTATTCATAACATTTCTCTTTTATACGTTTTAGCCTATATGCCAGGGTTGTTAGATGAACAAAGCCTTACATCTCTGGGCTCTCAATCTTCTCTCTCTCCCGAGCAACTACCGACTGTTGTCTTCTTGTATTCAGTACATAACAATTTATTTATCTAACAATGGATCGGCATTATCGACCGGAACGCTTCGACGCGGATCCAAGTTGTCCCTCAGCCGCGA